GCCATATTTTATAGTGCTCTTTGTTCAGAAGGAAATATAAAAGTTTGTGTTTTGGGAGAGACTAGAGGTAATTTAAAGGAGATTCATGATGGTCTTCATCAAACCTGAAATGCCAACAATTGAACAAAATTCCCTGCCAAACTCTGATCTCTTGGCAAGTTCTATAGCAATAAAAATCTACTCTAATGCAAAAAGGGGGGGGAAGCTTTATGTTTCACATCCCCCCATGCTAAACACTTTCAGCCCTTCTCATTTTGGGGGATTATTGAAGCAGAGTTGCAAGTCACGCTAGTCAAAAGAGACTTAGCATAAATTATTCCCAGGGAAATTGTATTTTAAAATTTAAAATAAATTTCATGAAAATCTGCCAATGTGATTATATCCTGGCCATTTTATAGTGGACTTGTTCTCTATCAATTCCACAGAGCTTACTGAACTAATTCCAGAATGGGGATAAGAAAAATAACTCGTTTCACCTTAGTGGTTTCAGCCTTACATTCTTTCTGGCTCATTCCATGCCAGTAGAAACACAGAATCAACATTAAAAAAATAAACATCTAAAATGCTACATTTGGCTTCCTTTATTGCCCCACAAAAGTAACACTATCAGAAGAGCACACAATGTATCTGTTGATATCCTAGTTGAAGTCCACAAGTCATAAAAGAGCCAAGGTTGCCTACCCCTGTCCTAGTCCTAGGTCAGGAGTAGGCAACCTTGGGTCTTTTATGACTCGTGGACTTCAGCTCCCAGAATTCCTGAGCCAGCCATGCTGAGGGGAAAAGGAGTTTCCAAGCTGAGCCATGCTGGTTCAGGAATTCTGGGAGTTGAAGTCCATGAGTCATAAAAGAGCCAAGGTTGCCTACCCCTGTCCTAGGTTATAGATGTGAAAGAGAGAAAAAAATACTTTGAATTATATATTTTAAAGAAATGAAGAAGGAAGCAATATATTTGGTTAAGTACTATAGATACATGTTTTCTTGTGCCTAAGCTCTTTGCCATTTAGCTGTTGCTTTTTACCTAATTCTTTAGGTAACACTGCATTTTTCCTCTTCTTTTAACAACCCTGTAATCCCTTGCATCGGGGTGGAGTTGGGGCAACTGAATGGAGCTGACCATTTATGGCCGGATGCCCTTCCTGACACCTATGCGCAGCTCATAGCAGATATTTTCTCTTTGAGCCCAAAGAGAAATATCAGCCGCTACCTAGGATCGAGCTCACAGCTTCCTGATATAAACCCTGCATTGCAGTAGCCTCATTCACTGCAGCATTAGATAAAATAGGCAGGCTATCTTATTGGGCAATTAATTATGTGCCACCAGCTTTAGCTGATGAAAGGCACTTAAATCACTTACCTACCTGCTCCACCTCTCATCAAATCTCTCTTGTCCCTAGCACTTTTCCCCACTCTCTTCATGGTTTATCCAGTTGTTCCCTTAGTGCAGTAGTGGCGGACCTATGGCACAGGTGCCAGAGGCGGCACTCAGAGCCCTCTCTGTGAGCACACACGCCATCGCCCCAGCCCCCCCATGGCCCCCTCACCAGCAGCCACCCCTGGAGGAGAGTTGCCCCGGGTGCAGCCTGCACAGAGCAGTGCAGCCAAAGACATGGCAGCTGGGCAGCAGAGACAAGACTCCACCCTCATGCCCCATTGCGTACAGATGATGCTGTGGGGTGTGGACAGAGGGCGTGACCACCATGATGTTGCTGGGCTGCCTGGGTGATCTGCTGTGGTGGGCCGTGGAGGTGGTGGGTGGCCCTATGGGCAGGAGAGGCGGAGGTGGGGCAGGGGCGTGGTGGTTTTGGGGCACTCGGTCTCAAAAAGGTTCGCCATCACTGCCTTAATGGTTGTAAAGTGATAAATATGGATCTTTAAAGTCTTAGATCTATTTGACCTAAAGGAGCTCAGAAGAACAGTTAATAGATTTTTATTTTGGAAAACCTGGTTATTTTTAAACTCAAAGACTTATTCTTAAACTTAGTATTACTGAACCATTTATGTGCCAAGTCAGTAACAGAAACAGAAGAAGAAGCTGCCTACTCCAGGGACTTTCATCTTCTGATAGTGACTTTTATGGACTTCAGCTGGCATCCCAGATTGTTTTCTGTGGTTATTTCTCACTTCTGTGCAAACGGCTTGTTTCTATTTTTGTTCCTCATTTCATAAAACCATTTCATAAAACAAAACCAAGTATGTATACATGTATATCTATATGTATGAGACCTGGTTTTAATCTCAGGACTGTGCAGCCTTCCTCAGATTCTATTGTTTGGGCTTAGGAAATCCATAAGCCCAAACCCACTTTGTCCAGAGGCCAATCAATAGCAAGGATGGAAGCATTAGACAGGAGGGTTAATTGCATTTCCCATCACAACTTCTTATATGTTGCACGTTTTATATTATTTCCACTGTTGCTTTCTGTGCAGTGATGATGGCTGATTTCTCAAGAAACAGATAAAAGACATACTTGAAACTCTGTCAGTAGATTGTGCTTCTTTCTGTATTCTACTGGCAAAGTTACTTTCCTGTGATGAATTTTAATTGCTGAAAATTGCAACAATAGATTTGGATGGAGTGACAGTTCTATCTGAAATTTCATTGACATGATCAGTCAAAGTGATATCAGTCAAAGTTACACAGAAGAGTGCAGTATAATAGAAACAATACAGGTTTAAGGTGTTATCTCTCTCTCTCTTTTTTATTAAAGAAATCTCTACCAACAAAAGGAGATTTTCCATTTAACTATTGTTAAATAAATTATTTGTTTATTATTCTATTGCTATATTTTTACATATTTAATGGTATGATGCATTTTTCTATTTATTTTCACTGGCAAAGTTGTAGAATTGCAGCAATTTATATTTAAATATTTAGCGATGATATAGATTATAGAATGATAATTTGTATGGTCCTTTCCTTTTTTTCAAAGTAACCATATAGAATGAAAAAGGAAGAACACCTTTTTTAAAAAAAAAAAAAATGCATCTCTAACAATGGAGGAGTGAATCTCCTTTGATGTTTATAAACTCTTCTAGTTCACCGAGTCTATCAGTTCAATTGCAACATTAGAGGTGGGGCTAAATCTTTTGAATAAACATAAGAAACTTGAGGAAGTTTTATTTCCTTTAAAAAGCTGTCCACCACCAAGCATCTATGACTAAGATTATTTGCCTGATAGCCTTTGATTTCATAGAATGGTCTGTGTGAAGCCTAACACTGAAGGTGGGGAAAAATTAAAAGTCATATAGATTAACATATTATACAAAATGTTTGAAATAAATAAATAAATAATAAAACCGAAAGAAACTTTAATTGGTAAATTTGTCATCTGTAAGTCCAAAAGCTAGTGGTCTTTTTTATCATCAGTTTCCATTATCTTAGATCATTCTGAATCTTTAAAAAAAGTGAAGAAAAAATGAGGAAGTTGTTTCTATCTGAATCATAATTACAAAGAACTGAAGCAGTTAGTATTTTAAAATGGAAAATAAAAATAGAGAGGAAGGGACAGTGGAGGAAGGGGGACTGTGAAACAGTAAATAGCTGCATTTGCAGGTATAAATTGAAGTTTAGCTAAAATGGAAAACTGTGCATGGGTTACTCTTCCTAGAACACCAAGGCAATGCAATAGCTTCAGATGTTATTTCCAACCAGTTAAAATCTAAAGAGGTACAGTAGATGAGATGCTTTAACTAATCTAGGCCAGAAGAAGCAACAGACAACCTGCACACACGCACATGCATACACCTGCATCCCAGCATCTTTTTTTTGCATCCTAAATGCTCAAAGGTCATGCTGCCAAATTATGGCTATTCAAATTTCCACTTTTTATCAAAATGCAGTAGAGCTTGTTAAGCATCTTTTGTCTATCTTATTTTTAAAAATCCTCAACCCAAAGAAGCATTGGGGGGGGGGGGAAGCTAAAGGTTCATTTCTCTTCCCTCCAGGCTCATCCCATGTCACTGCTATCTTCTGAGGTCCTGAACAGCCAAATAGATTAAGATGCAGCCCCAGTATAAAAAGATTGATTGACACTTATGTCAGAAAAGAACTAGTTGTGTTATTCTCCAGTTTAAAAAGAACACAGAGTACTCACCTTTCCTTTCTTTAAATGGCTAGACAAAAGCAGTTGGCTTGAAGCCTTGAGGCTGAGACTGGCAGGTGGGGAGGAGAGAGAATGCAGAATTTGCACTGATGAAACGAAGCACATGTATAGACTAGATGTGCCTGTGATCTTGCTATGGGTACCCAGTGCTTTTTTTCTAAAAAAAAAAAAAAAAAAGGTGCCGGAACTCACAAACGTCATACAACCCGCCTTGCCTACCCTACAAGGTTCCATCCAAAAAAGGTGCTGGAACTCCGTTCTGGGCGTTGTATGAGAAAAAAAGCCCTGCGGGTACCTATAAGATAGTCTTGTTTAATTGCCATTCATTTTTTAAGGGAAAAAGGGTCCCCCCCCCCCAGATTGGAATTCAGCACGTTCTGCTTCTGTGGTTTTTAGCATGGTATTTGACACTGGTCTGGATGAAAGAGACCAGGAAATAAAATGAATCACCTTACTGGAACGGCATACATATCTTAAAGAAGTATCTGTGATTAATAAATTAAACCAAATTACTTATTATTATTTATTAAATGTATATGCCGCTCTTCACACTGTTTGAGTTATCCATTGTTTAAAGTTCTTTTGGAATCAATCTACAAGTAATGAAAGGGAAATGTAGGCGGAGAAAAAACAGGAAAAATATGAAGAATGGGCTTTAGGATCCAAAACAAGCACTTAATAAGAATACCTGGTTAGGCTTACGTTGTTAAAAAACCTAACCCTAGTTGAAAATATGGGAAAGGGTGTATTTAAAAAGTGTTAAGAATTGTGTTTGCTGTACTTTCACTGAATTGCTAAGTGTATTATTAACTACTTCAACATGCCTATTTGGTTGAAAATCTCCAGCAATATTTGATACATGTATATATATCTCCCTATATATTTGTGGTGCCTTTAGGCATGTGAAGGTGTTCCAGTGCAATATTTCAACAACTTAGATGAACTGATAGAATTTTACAAGAAAGAGAACATGGGGCTGGTCCGGAGCCTTAAATTCCCAGTTCCCCATGAAGAAGAGGAGACAACAGATGATCTAGAAGAAGATCTGGGTAAGAAGTTCAAAACATAGTAATTTACATTATTACTATCAATCCAAAGTTGTCAATTTGCAGGAAGAAGTCAGTATTACAGTGGAATTGAATTGACCTGTTGAATTAAGGACTGTTGAATACATACCGGTAACTTTATCCCTTACTATACACCTCTCTAACAATTCTTTGAAACTGAACGCTGCCTGTCAGTCAGCCATAATGAATATCATTCAAGAATATTATCCCATCTGTCCTTCAAAGGGTAGAGAATGTCCTGGAAAAATGCAAAACATTTTATCAGTCTCCTAGTCATATACTTGAGGTATTTCCCTGTTGTATGTCAAAAAATATAATAAAATAATGCAAGAAGATCTATTGCGCTATAGTTTTTCAAGTATTGTCTTCCTTTTAGTCATAAATACCAAGCTAAACCATAATTCTATTTAGAATATTTACTTTTACTTTTGAATTGTACTATGTGTATAGATTATTCTCTTTACCGATCATACTGTCAAACTGATACCTACTTAATGCTGCTTTTATTAGATTTTAAAAGTTTCTCTGGCAGTACATTTTAGATGTATGCAAGCACAAAATGCCACTTGAAGTTTCATTGTGTCTGTCTTGCTTCTTCTGACATGAAAGTAGAAATATATTTGGCAACATATTCTTGTAATGGTTTACAAAGTTAAAACTCATTCCAATTAAATTCCAGTTAAAAGCAAACAGATGAAAACCCCATCTATAATTCTAATTACAGTGTACCAAACTTTTCAGAGGAGAAAGGCTTTAACTCTCTTTCAGAAGCTCACAAGATTATACATTTGGCACAGCTGTAGCTTCAACCTAAATCAGAGACTAATCCTGAGTTGGAGAAGTGGTTTCCATGTGAATCCTATGTAGAATCGCCTCTGGTTCTTACATATTTTCCTTTAAACATGCTGGTGCCACAGCTTCATCCAGAGGGGAGACTTCAGTGATACTCTATCTTCTCTCGCCTAAGGAAATCCCAATTAAAATAATAGCGATGTTGTGTCTGTACATATTAATAGATTTTTCTATTATTCCAACAGCTGGGTGGAAATACAAGTGATTAAAACAGAAAGAAACCTTTAACCACAATGCAGAGAAAATGCTACAGCTATTAGAAACTAAAGTCTTGCCTCTAAAGAAGGTGACCAGTCCTATCCTTGGGCACACTGTATGCTGGAGATAGGGGAATCTGTTGAATCAAAAGCTCAAAAATAAAATCCTCAATTTCTTCTCTTTATGTTTTCCTGCTGCAGGAAAGGAAAAGATCTGTGGTGTTTTCACCTTACTCTTTGATTTTTAAAAAAATTGTTTTATGGTACCCATTTATTCCTTTTCTTCCTTGGGGTGACTCATTTTTCCTTCTTGGCCAAGCTTCTGAGCTCCACCCCACTTTGCCCACCTGGCTCTCTACTTTTATACCTTCCAGTCTTCTCTTCTTTCTGCTTTTGTTTTCCATACAACTTCTAACCCCTACGTATCAATCTTCATGGGTCTTTAATTTCAACAATAATTTATCTTTATTTCTGATCTCCAGCTCTTGTTTACTATGCCCCATTTTTGAAGGTTTCCCCCCCCCATGCCTTCATGGGTGCAATGTTGTGTGATCACTTGTTACATACTCTTTGCATCAACACTATTAATTCCACTGTCTTGCATGTATCCTGCATCTGTATAAAACAACATTTCTTTTTTTTCCTTTTTCTCCCTGCATGCTCATCCAAATTTAAATCTGCATCAGTGCATCTACGTAATGTATCTGATGAAGTGAGCTTCAGCTCTCTTTTAATAAAATCTGCAAAGGGAGGGAAGAAAGGGGGAATTACTGTGGAGGGGTTTTTTTTCTTTTGTTTTAATTCTTGGAGAACAAAGGGGAGGAAAATGGATACAATCCTGCTGCTACTTTTCTCCAATCCCTACATATATAGAGGAAAGTCTGGAGGAGTGTATTTACATGCACCTGAATAGTATATGAGAATCGATTGTGGATGGGTCTAGAGAAGACCAACTTTTTACTTCAGAGAAAGAGAACATCAGTCAACTAGGGCATCCTAGCTGATCAGGCAACTCTGGAGCAGCCTGGACAGGTCACATTATAGTTCTGGTGTTTCATGTTTTTCAACAATAAACACTTCATGTGAACACAGAAATAAATTCCAGAACAATATGTAATGTTAGCTTTCATTTGTCTGTTAAAGTTTCGTTCTTCAGATTTGGTCATATTTTATGCCAGAGAATAATTTGCTGGAAATTAATTGATTGGTTGGAAGAGGAAAGCATATTTGCAGAAGAGCCAGCTGGGTTCATGATAGAGAGATCAGTCACGAACCAATGCTTAGCCTTACAACATCTAACTAAGAAATATATATTCCCACCTAAGTGGGGTTGTATGTGGCTTTTATTGATTTTAAAACAATCTTCAGTTAGTCTCCAGTAAATGATTGTGGTTGAAACTGGAGAGGTCTTCTGTTGATAATTATTAGGGCTCATTAAAATGCTGCATAAAATTACTTATATCCAAATAAGACTTAACACCCAAGATATCTTTCTGGCCTGGTGCCTACTTATCAGGGTGTAAACCAAGGTTATATTCTAGTCCTCTTATTATTTAATTTATATATTAATGATATGGAGCACGTCTCACAAAATTAGAACATTTTCCTCCAAAACTGACTGGTAGACCTATCACACATCTCTTATATGAGCTGATGCAGCCATCATTTCTATTTTACCCATTTGTTTAGAAGAGGTCTAAAATCAATTGCTTCTTACTGCATAGTCAACTATTTAATTATTAATTATGAAGAAATTGAAATTTTGGTCTTTTAAAGCTTCTAGATGCAATCATAAATGAGAAATAAATGGGAATGCTATAAAACAAGTTGAGGCCTTCAAATACCTCAGAGCTGATTTTTATCCCATTGGCTCAAATTCAATCCTTATAAAAGGTCAGAAGAAGTGAAGTTGTCATACTGAGGTTTTTTGTTTGTATGTGTGCAACAAAAGGTGATTATATCATGGTGGACAAGAAGTACTTAAGATCGAAATAATATCATAGCTGTCCTATGGCTTCCAAATATGTGCATATAAGAACCATTAGAAGCTGTACAATTAAGCTTCTTAAACAATCTATCTTTGGTTCCTTGTTGTGTTCCCAACTCAACCCTTCAAGCTGAAGCCGGAATGATTCCAATTAAAACTTAAAACTCATATCTGAATAGCACATGCTATTATCTGGCTCAAACAAATTTTCAAACCAGGTTTTCTGGCTTCTTTGATTTTTCAAGACAAATTCAGATTTCTTGGTATTATTTGGTGCCACCCTAAGCCATTGTGTATTGATTCCAATGGGATTTGATCAGGCCAAAGCATTTTTTAACCAACATACCAGAGATATGATTTTGCAAAATGATTTTGGCCAGACTCCACCATATATTAATTCACTGAACCCATGACAAGTGTTGCTCCTCCACACTGCCTCTACAATATTGTCTCCCAAAACACCAGAAGAGCTTTTACTCTTGCTCACAGTAATGTCCTTCCCTCTGCTCTCTTGGACTGAAGGTTCTATAACATATCAAAAGAGTTATGGCTCTGACTTTGTGATAAGGAAGAAACCGAAACTGTGGTTCCTCTGTTGCTGTTCTGCCTTTTCAATAGAAATCTGTGAGAAATATATATTTCCCCATATATAACACAATACCCAGGCAGGCTGAAAGCTGACTAAACATAAACTCCTTCTCCAGATGAGGTTTTGTTAAGTCTTAGTTAATCTTTCATAACTTAATGTATTTTCTTTTCTTTTTCCCCCTTGCTTTCCTTCTTCCCCCTTCCCCCCTTTTTCCTGTTTGCCTTTTAAATATACACACATCACTCTAAGTTTTATTTTGCTGTTTCTTTTTCCATTATCTGAAAAAGTGCAATAGTTTCCCCCCAAATAGACTATACTATAGTCATTCAGTTAGTTTCATGCCTATGTGAGGATTTATATTTAAGTCACGAAAATCTTTATCGAGCTGTTATTGTACCATATCAATATACACAGAGGTTACCATATAGAAAATTATTCTCTGGTAAGAATAGTATCCCACTGAAAAGTAGAATGTTTTAAACAAAGTAGCATTTTGAATCCCTAAGTCACAGTGTGTGCATATCTTGTTTTGGTGACAGATCCTTTGCCTATTCCACCTGTATTACCTCCACGCAGCATTTCAGTTCCAGTAAGTGAAACAAAGGAAGAGCTTTTACTCAATGATTATGTCCAGATGACAGAAGTTAGCAGACCACCTCTTTCTGAAACCTTGCTCCAGCGATTACAGCACCAGGATACCAGCAAGTAAGATCTATCACCATTTATCTCAAGAAGAATGAGAAAGTCTGGCATTAACCTCATTTCCTTTCACAGTTCTCTTGAAAAAAGATTTCCAGACAAATCTAGGAACAGGCCAGAGCATTTCTTTGTAAAGGTGTCCAGGAAATTGTGAAAGCTAAGGCGGCCTTCCTTCAGGAAATGGAAAGCCTGTCCTAATGAGGGGAAAAAAAAACCTCTAGCAAAAAAGTATATAGTGGTAATATGGAATGTCAAAAAAACAAAACAAAAAAACCTAGAGGCAAATAAAAATCAAAGAAAACAATAAGAATTTCTAAAAGTTGAGTTTTTAGATGACAAAGTTGTTAAATGTTTCCTCAGGGAGGATGAGGAACATGCAGAGAAATGGAATGAATTCTTTGCCTCTGTCCTTTTACTGAAGAATTATGTACAGTAAAACTTCAATAAACTTCTTTCTTAGCAGACTACAGATGCAATGGACCAAATCTCCATGTAAATATCCTCTCCAAGTAATGCATGAATTATTTGTTTCAACCAAAGTATCTAGCTCATGGAGTTAAATTTGCTTTCATTTTATGTCTTTTGTGGTAATTTACATCATTTACATAGTAACTTCATTACACAAATTGCATTATTGTGTAATGTGCAAATGATGTAAATTGACACAAATGATATAATTTACACTGTAATGGACATTCAGGAGTAATAATTGATCCACTAAAATATTACAGTATGATTTTCTCAGGCAGGAAGATAACAAGATATTGTAGGAATTAGGTTTTTTAATAGGGTTCCATGAACTCAAGGTCTTGAATAGGTTCTGCAGGACCAAGGCAGGAAAAAAGACTCTTAGAGAGAGTTTTCTTTTCCCTTCTTAGTTTCTTGCAGAAAGCTTCCCCCCACCCCTTAGTAGCTAAGGTATAGCAGAAATGGCAGTGCTAATCAGCTGACATTCAGAAGCCCCATCTCTCTTGAATGGGTATCCCAGGATTTTTGTTTTTGTTTTTAATAATTTATTTATTTATTTATTTATTTTTTGGATTTATATCCCGCCCTTCTCCCGTAGGACTCAGGGCGGCTGACAATCTATTTAAAATACATACAAACAATACAAATTTAAAATTAATTAAAAGGAATATTTAAATATTTGTCGAATTTTAAAATATAATTAAAACCCCCCTAAAAATTACCCTAGGCCA